CTGTTAATAGTCTTGATCACAACTATTAGCATATTTAATAGGACTACTACTGTTTGGTAAGACTAACAGCTTTGGTAGGAGTACTACTTTTTGTCAAGACTATTGACAATTTTAATTGGAGTACTATGGTTTATCAAGACTATTGACAATTTTAATTGGAGTACTATGGTTTATAGGAGTACTACTGTTTGTTAAAACTGTTAATAGTCTCGACAAACAGTAGTACTCCTATCAAAGCTATAAAGTCTTACCAAATAGTAGTACCCTATCTAAACTGTTAATAATCTTGACAAACAGTTGTACTCCTACCAAAGCTGTTAATAGTCTCACCAAACAGTAGTACCCTATCTAAACTGTTAATAGTCTCACCGAACAGTAGTACCCTATCTAAACTGTTAATAGTCTTACCAAACAGTAGTGCTCCTATCAAAACTGTTAATAGTCTTACCAAACAGTAGTGCTCCTATCAAAACTGTTAATAGTCTTGACAAACATTGGTACTCCTACCAAAGCTGTTAATAATCTCACTGAACAGTAGTATCCTATCTAAACTGTTAATCTTACCAAACAGTAGTACTCCTATCAAAACTGTTAATAGTCTTGACAAACATTGGTACTCCTACCAAAGCTGTTAATAGTCTTGACAAACAGTGGTACTCCTACCAAAGCTGTTAATAGTCTTGACAAACAGTGGTACTTCTACCAAAGCTGTTAATAGTCTCACCAAACAGTAGTACTCCTATTAAATCTGTCAGTAGTCTTGACAAACAGCAGCACTCCTATTAAATCTGTTAGTAGTCTTATCAAACAGTAGTATTCCTATCTAAACTGTTAATAGTCTTAACAAACAGTAGTATTCCTATCTAAACTGTTAATAGTCTTGACAAACAGCAGCACTCCTATTAAATCAGTTAATAGTCTTATCAAACAGCAGTATCACTATCTAAACTGTTAATAGTCTTACCAAATGGTAGTACCCTATCTAAACTGTTAATAATCTTGACAAACAGTTGTACTCCTACCAAAGCTGTTAATAGTCTCACCAAACAGTTGTACTCCTACCAAAGCTGTTAATAGTCTCACCAAACAGTAGTACCCTATCTAAACTGTTAATAGCCTCACCGAACAGTAGTACCCTATCTAAACCGTTAACAGTCTTACCAAACAGTAGTGCTCCTATCAAAA